GGAGGAGAGCTGGAGTTCTCGTACACGTTCCTTTCAATGAACCTGTCAGATACTTTCTGTCCTATTTTGAAATAGATCAGGAGAGAGGGAGAGAGAGAGAGCGCCCTGGAGGTATCTTTTCAACCTTTCATTAGTTAGTGGAGTGCAGTTGGAGGCCCAGAGCCAACGCCCCAACAGGGCAGCTGATCCACCCCTGCCCGATACTCACCAGATCCCCAGAGAAAACAAGGACCCGCACCCCCTCCCCAGCATTTCCAGCAAATGCACAGCTCTGTCTAACTGCCCCCCCTTTCTCCCCCTTTCTTCACATGCATCCACACAACACCCCCACCCCTCCTTCCAAGCTCTGATGGGTCCTTGATTGCATGTCCCAGCGGGGGAAGCACCTACAGCCATGAAGGCACTTCTTTATGTCCTCTTTGTGTGCCTGTCATCAGGCATGTCACTTTGGGCCAAACCGTAAATGACAGACCTCCTGTTCTAACACTTGGTCTATGCACACCTTGATCCCGAGGTGCACAGAGATGGCGCATCTCAGCTAAGTGAAGTTTGAGAGCCTCCGCCAGTCTGGCTCACATTCCGCTTGCCAGTCAGGAGCATGAAGGCAGTTTTTCTGATGGACAGTTCGGCTGTTTGTGAGGAGCTGGGGCCATCTGGCTGCGGGCTTTCTCAATGTATTCACACACGGAACATGACAGTGCAAGTGGCAGCTTTTTGTGCACATGTGTTTGCAAAGCCCTATGGGAGTTGTAGTTTTCACACTCCCCCCACCCTGGGCTGTGTCATCCCTGTGTGCTTCTCCACAGCCAACTGCTTGAATAAACAGTGAGCAAAATGGTCATTCCAGCCATAGATCACTCATTAAAAGCCACAAGCGTTGGCAACCACAAATGCTGCACAGCCATGAACCTGTTTGGCAGCTGTACGAGTCGGACTGCCGCGAGGAGACCCAAGGCTCGGCTTGTGTCCATTTGTCAGAAATGGTACATTTGCCTGCCAGAAATGTTCGGTGAGAACTTCTTGGCACCCTCAGTTCCAGCACCAGCTGTGCAGACGTGGCCTCACCCAGCAGCAGTACACGGAGGGCCTCCGTCAGATCTTCCATCCCGGGAAGAGGGGCCACCAAGTGCCCAACTCGCTCTCTAGGCAGAGCTGCGCTGCAGGATGGAAAAGCTCCCCCCCCCTCGAGCCAGCGACTCACAAGAGCTTCACGGGAAGCGGCCCATTGTGAGAAATTTGGCCTTGGACTCAATAAATGCATTTCCCCTCTCTTTTATTAAAGAATGCCATGTGGTTATTATTTATTGGAAAATTGATAAGCTGCCAGTCCAGAGACTGCTCAAGGCGGGTTAGTTATTACAAAGACGGCACTCGTCTGTATATATAATGCAAAATTAATACAATCCTAAATATAAGGATACTTAATCATGCTCCAAGGTTCTCCATAATGCGCATATTGCATGGCGTATGGAGGAAAGAAGGAGGCTCCCTCTGCCAGATGCTGTCTCCAGTCCTCATAGGGAGATGAGGTGCTGGTGCTTACCTTTAAAGCCCTTTATGGCCAGGGTCTGACATACCTGAGGGACTGCCTTTCCCCACGCATACCCCAGAGAGCACTTCGGTCAGGGTCACAACACCAACTGGCCCTTCCAGGTCCCAAGGACACCAGGCTAGCTACAACCAGGACCAGAGCATTTTCGGTGGTGGCTCCATCCTGGTGGAATGAGCTCCTGGAAGAGATCAGGGCCCTGCGGGACCTTTTGCAGTTCCACAGGGCCTGCAAGACGGAGCTCTTCCACCAGGCATTCAAGTAGGAGCTGCCGCCACTACCGGTATCATTGTGCTCAGCATTACCACCTATGCTTACTATTACCATCAATGTAATCACAACAGTAAGGAGCTGCGGTGGCTCAAGTGGTCAAGACGCTGAACTGCAGGCTGAGGAAGGTCGGTAGTTCAGCAGTTTGAGACCTGGGTGCCGCATGACGGAGTGAGCTCCCGTCTCTAGTTCCAGCTCCTGCCAACCTAGCAGTTTGAAAGCAAGAAATTGCAAGTAGATAAATAGGTACCACTTCGGTGGGAAGGGAACAGCGTTCCGTGCACCTTGGTGTTTAGTCATGCCGGCCACATGACCACGGAAACGTCTTCGGACAGTACTGGCTCTTCGGCTTTGAAACGGAGATGAGCACCGCAACCCTAGAGTCAAACTCGACTGGCTTTCGAGCAAGGGAACTTTTACCTTTACCTTTAATTACAACAGTAGCCTGGTGCCTGGTCTATTACAGATAGCCTGTGCTTGCCGACCAAAACCGAGAAAGACTGATGAGCTGAGTATCAAATGAATCTATAGAATGTATGAAGCCATCTTTGATATTATATGTTAACTGCTAGCACTTTAATATATTGTAAGCTAGTTTTAATGGATTGTTATTGAACTGTGATTAATTGTTTTTATTGTATTTATTGTTACTGTGTTTTTACGAGGTTAGCCGCCCTGAGCCTGCCTTGGCGGGGAGGGTGGGGGACAAATGTAAGGAAATAAATAAATAGATAAATGGGAAGGCTCCCCGGCGGGGACTCAGTCTGGAGTGTTTCCCTCCAGTTCTCTGCGGCATGAACTTCTACGAGCCGGAGGGGTACATCGACTCGACCGACTACCCTCCACTGCCTCGGAACAACTACCTGGAGTGCACTTACAACGTGACGGTCTACACCGGATATGGGGTGGAGCTGCAGGTAGGAAGGCTTTGGGGGGCTGCAGCCGAATGGCGTGGGGCACACCCCTCCCGCCCAGACACATCTCACACACGCACACCTGCCATTTCAGCGAGGTCTCCCCAGGTCTGCCTCTCTCCCCCCCACCCCGGCTGCCTTTGCAAGTTCTGAAGGGGCCGTGCCAGGCAGTCCCGTGTTCAGAAGTGCCTCTGTGTGCCCACGGCGTGTTTCCCCCCCTCCAGTGCCGGGCGCTTCCATGGCAGCCAGACGCTTGAGAATGCTGCCTCTTCTCTTCCTGGGAAGAGCTGGTCACAGGGGTCCCCACACCCAGAGATCGCCAACGGATGTTCGGACAGAGGGTGGGCTCTAGCCGCCCCCTTCCCCGGCCCAGGTCAAGACAGGAGGGAGCAGGAAATTAGCCCCCCCCCCATTTCCGAGCCCCCTCAGCTCTGTTTGCAGAAGCTTCTCCAGACGACCTGAACATTCTTGAAGCTGGTCTGGGTTTGCCAACTCGCTCCTGTCTAACTTGCCACAAGTAAGCAGTGTGTGTGCCTGTGTGCTCCTCTTGCTCCAAGAAGAAGAAGAGGAGGAGGAGGAGGAGGAGGAGGAGATTGGATTTATACCCCGTGCCCTTCACTACCCAAAGGTGTCTCAGAGAGGCTTACAAACTCCTTTCCCTTCCCCTCCCCACAACAGACACCCTGTGAGGTAGGCGAGGCTGAGAGAGCTCTCTGGAGGACTTCCCTTGAGAGAACAGCTCTGAGAGAACTACGGCAGGTGCAAGTGGAGGAGTGGGGAATCAAACCCAGTTGTCCCGGATCAGAGTCCGCGCTCCTAACCACTATGCTCAACTGGCCTGCCTGACTGTTTCACAGGCTCAATATGGAAAGGAGAATGAGAGTCATCGGCAGAAGCAGAACAGGCAGGCGCATGAGCACCTGAGCTGCTCTGGAGGGCAGCATTTGGGGCACACCCCATAAGCTGCCGGGCTGCTCTGGGCCACCCCGAACAGGAGTCCCCTGCAGCTGGAGGGACAGACTGTCTTGGCCAAAGTAAACGGGGTGGGGGGGCATCAAAGAGCCATGGGGCCTTGGGAGCAGGGGCTTCTCCAGAGGCCCCCAGGCAGCACACCAAATGCAAGCCATGTGCCACAGGCAGCCCTGGGAATGCAAGGGGGGCCCCCTCGGCTGTTGCCCTTGGGGAGGGCAGGGGGGGGATTCCTCACAAGCAGTGATCCGGGGAGAGGCTGGGGCCGGGGCAGTGGATTTGGCAGCGGATTTGGCAGCGGATGCTGGGCTTCAGTGCAGAGCGCTCCCATCGCCATGTGATTACCAGGGTCACCCTTGCCATATCGCTCCTGCTTAAAGGATTAAAAATGAAAGAGAAACTGTTAAGCTGATTCCAGCAGCAAGGGCTGCAAAACGGATTTCCTTCTTCCTGGCAGGCAGCAGGCCCACGAGTGCCAGCAGCAGGATGGATTCTCCCCCCACCCTCGCCACTCCCCCTCCCATCCTCCCACCCAGCCCCGGCCCCCAGCAACGGGCGCTCTCTGGGCTGGGAGGAGCAGGCATGCCAGGAGAGGGCCGAAGGCGCTCTGCTAGCTCTCCCCCTCCTCCCCCAGGGATGACAAGAGGGCTGATGGGTTGGGGGCTCACCCTTTGCCTCCTCAAGAGGCTGCCTGGCACAGCATGGGGGGGTGTTTGGGGATCTCTCACAGGGTTGCCAACCTCCAGATGAGGCTTGGAGATCTCCCACTATTACAACTGATCTCCAGACATAAGATCATAAGAGAAGCCCGTGTTGCATCAGGCCAGTGGCCCATCCAGTCCAACACTCTGTGTCTCACAGAGTGACCAAAAAGACCAGGTGCCATCAGGAGGTCCAGCAGTGGGGCCAGGACACCAGGAGCCCTCCCACAGTTGCCCCCCCCCCAAGCACCAAGAAGACAGAGCATCCCTTGCCCCAGACTGATGAGAGTTCCTACCTATACCTTGTGGCTAATAGCCACTGAGGGACCTTTGCTCCATAGGTTTATCTAATTCCCTCTTGAAGCCGTCCATGCTTGTAGCCACCACCACCTCCTGTGGCAGTGAATTCCATGTGTTCATCACTCTTTGGGTGAAGAAGGACTTCCTTTTATCTGTTCTAACCCGACTACTCAGCAATTTCATGGAGTGCCCACAAGGAGTTCTTGTCTTGTGAGAAAGGGAGAAAAGGACTTCTTTCTCTACGTGCTCTGTCCCAGGCATAATCTTATAAACCTTGATCATGTCACCCCTCAGCCGTCATTTCTCCATGCTAAAGAGCCCCAAGCGCTCTTAACCTTTCTCCATAGACAATAGAGATCAGTTCCCCTGGAGCAAATGGCTGCTTTGCGGTGGGGGACTTTGTGACCTCATACCCCGCTGAAGTCCCTCCCCTCCTCAGACCCCACACTCTCCCCAGGCTCCCCCCCAAATCCTGAGGTGTTTCCCACCCCAGAGCGGGCGGCCCCACGGATTCTGCCCAGCACCCTGCATTGCCAAACCCCAAAGAGCAGGGAGGAAGTTGTTTTCTTCAGGGGAGGGGTGCTTGTTTGATAGTTTAAGAGTTGTGCCCATCTTACTTGTGCAATGACATCTAGGGCTGTCGGTTCCAGGCTGGGACATGCCTGGAAATTTGGGGGGTCAAGCCTATGGAGGGTCCTCAGCAGGGAACGAGCCATCGAGTCTCCCCTCCAAAGCAGCCGTTTTCTCCAAGGGGCGTGGCCACGGCAGTCTGGGGCTCAGCTGTGATCCTAGGAGACCTCCAGGCTGCACTGGGGATGGGCAACCGTAGCCATATCCCCAGTCCTTAGGAAGGCCATCCCAGGTGAGAAGAAGAAGAGTCCAGCACAGAAGCTCCTAGTGCCCCCCACCCCGCAGGACTGTAGCTGAGTCTCTCCCACTTGGGTGTGTGGCTGTGATACTCTGGCTCTCTGTTACTGGCTCCTTACCGGTCCCAACCCTGGGTGGAAAATGTTTAAATGGGAGAAGATCCTTTGTGCTCCGTCTGAGTGGGGTCTTGCGGGGACTCTCCTGGTAATTCCGGTAGTGTTCATCCCTGTCGCCATCATATCAGCCAGAGCCCCATGATTTGAATGAGGTCAGCTGGGTAGCCTTTTTCAGCATCCCCAGCGCCGTCACCTGGTTCCCCTTCCTGGGTCTGCAGCTGTCGGCTGGCTCTGTGGGGTACCGGGCCCGTCCACACCCAGCAGGCAGGAGCTGCAGGGACAGGCATTTTGCCTCCTTTGGTTTTCTCTTCTGCATCAAGCCAGACCTTGCAGTTGTGATGGTCTAGCCCATCATTTTTCTTTTCCACCAGGTCTTTAAAAGCTGCCCAGATGGAGCGGCTGGCCTCTGTGTGGACCTTCTTGGAGGCCGGACTGCACCTCTCCTCTTGGCTGGGAAAAGCTGCCAGGCTTCTGTCCTGCCCCCTGGCAGAGGATCGGCTGCCAGCCAGGCCCTCGTTTCCAAGCGCAGTTCAGACTTTGCTTTGGGTTCCTCCTGTCTTCTGAAACATCTCCAGGCTGCCTTGTACTCATGAGGGAAAGAAAGTACTTTTCTCATGCTCAGTTTGGTGTAGTGGTTAAGTGTGCGGACTCTAACCTGGGAGAACCGGGTTTGAGTCCCCACTTCTCCACTTGCAGCTGCTGGATGACCTTGGGCAAGCCATAGTTCTGGCACAGCTGTTCTTGAAAAAGAGCCGTTTCTGTCAAGAGCTCTCTCAACCCCGCCTACCTCACAGGGTGTCTGTTGTGGGGAGGGGAAGGGGAAGGAGTTTGTAAGCCGCTCTGAGATTCCAAGTGAAGGGTGGGGTGTACATCCAATCTCCTCCTCCTCCTCCTCCTCCTCCTCCTCCACCTCTTCTTCTTCTTCTTGTTTTCTTATTTTAGTCCTGGTATTAAGATCACATTCCAGGGCTCAAGTGAAGCTCTGAGGGCTGCTCCGAACCCACCCTCTCTCTTCTCCTCAGACAGTTATGCAACCGCGGCACCTGCCCCACTTCCCCCATTGTGAAATAGCCAGGGCAGCCATGCTGGCCCACAGAGGCACACTGGAACACCTTGGCCAACCCCCCCCCACACACACACACACATGGAATTTTAGACATTCACACAACCACCGTCCCTCGCTCATCCCAGAGCTCTGGGGAGAGTTCTCTCTTGTCATGCTGTGATGGAGGCCTAGTCTATCTGTCTATGGAGGATAAGTCGATCAGTGGCTACTCGCCGTGGTGACTGAGGGGAACCGCCACTCTCAGAGGCACTAATCCTCTGAATCCCAGAGCCAGGAGGCAGCATCAGGGGAAGGCCTCGGTCTCTCTTCCCTGCTTATTTGGCCCTCGAGGGGAACTGGTTGGTCCCTGTGTGAGACGGGATGCTGGACTGGATGGACTACTGGTCTGATCCAGCAGGGCTCTTCTGATGGTCTTAACCAAAGGATCACGAGACAGAGACAATGTCCTTCAATGGTTACCAGTACCAGGTTGTGGAGACCTGGGTGCGGATCCTGACTCACTGAGTGACCTGTCCTGGGGCGAGATGAGACAGGGCAGGATGAAAATGTGCTAGACAGACAGATAGACGTGCAACAAGTGAAATCCCTCCGAGTTTTGTGCAATCTCATGGATATTTATTATGTATGAATACATATGAAGCTGCGTTCTACTGAATCAGATGACTGGCCCTTCACGGTCAGCCTTGTCCACTCAGACTGGCCGTGGCTCTCCAGGGTCTCAGGCTGAGGTCTTTCACATCCCCTCCTGCCTGGTCCTTTTAAGTGCAGATGCTGCCAGGGATTGAACCCGGTACCCTCCGCATGCCAAGTGGATGCCCTACCACTGATCCACGACCCCATCACTTTCCCCGTGACTTTCGGTGAAGGGCCCCAGCAGCCTCAGCCTCATGGATTTTTTTCCCTTCCCCGACATACAGGTGAAAAGTGTCAACCTGTCCGAGGGAGAAGTTCTCTCCATCCGCGGAGTGGACAAGGACAGACTGGTGATCTTGGCCAATCAGACACTCTTGGTGGAAGGCCAGGTCATCCGCAGCCCAACCAACACGATCTCGGTTTACTTCCGCACCTTCCCGGAGGATGTGGTTGGGACTTTTCAGCTGCACTACCAAGGTACGTGGCGCCTCTCCTGCAGCTGAGATGAGCTCCCTCATCCCGGAGCATTTGGGGGAGTTCTGTCTTGTCACACTGTGATGGAGGCCTGGTCTGCTCGGGCAGGGCAGTGAGGTGGCAGGATCCTGAGCTGCCAGGAGGGACTGTCACTGCTGCAGGCGGCCGTATCTTTATCTCCTTCTCCATACAACAGACTCCCGCTGTGTCAGCAAAAACATCACAAAACAGGGGAGAGGAGAACCCAGCCCCCTGGGGACCCTGCTGTGCTGATCTTCTGCCGGCAGGGAGTGCTTTTGCTTTCACCAAGGGGAACATTTAAAATGGGATTCCCACCATGGCCCCCTAGGATGAAATCCCACCATGCGTGTAGGCCGGGAGGAGCTTAGGCAACAGAGCACCTGCCAGGCAAGAGATTGGCATGTTCTGCAGAAAGAAAGCAGGAGGAAGGAGGTGGAGGAGACCATGGCCCAGGCAGCAGACAGATCTCATTCCTGCCTTGCTTGGCAACCCAAAACCCCGCCGAACACCTGTCAGGCTACCCAGGGGGTCGTGGGCTCGGGCAAATGTGGATCAAGGAGATCCAGTTCACAGCCCTGCCCTGCCCTGCCCTGCCCAGCTGGTCCCCTGTCAGCATGTCACAGTCTGGCAGCTTAACTGCCTTCATGAAGTTGTTGTGAGGCTACAATGAGGGCAGAATAACCTGGAGTGTTTCTGCAGTATAATGGAAAGGCAAGTGGAAGTTTTTAAACCACAATAAGTGGATCCAGTGAACGGCCTCCTGTTGTCTATGGACTGTTCCTAACATGCTCGGCAACCTCCTTTCAGAAAAGCCAGTGGCAACTTGCAAAGGCTCAGTAAACAGCCAGCCCGGGGTACTTCTTGTGGAACGGGAGTGAGGTTTGTGACCACAGAGCCACCACGGAGCAGGTCCTGCTTCCAGCCAGCGGGCAGCGTCATGAGGGGGTGGGTACAGCTATCCAGGAACGGAGGGAATCGCCCGCCGTGAGTCTTGTTAGGTTGCCTGCCATGTTCATGAAACCTTGACTGGCGATTCTCTCTATTGCTGGAGAGCTGCATCTGATGGAAATATCTGAAAACATTTGGAACCTCCTAATTATGTGAAGGTAAAAGAAGACGGGGACGGCAAAGGATGAGATGGTTAGACAGTGTCATCGATGCAACGAACATGAAGTTGAGCAAACTTCAGAGGATGGCGGAAGACCGGAAGGCCTGGAGGGAGCTGGTCCATGGGGTCGCAAAGAGTCGGACTCGACTGTGCGACTGAACAACAACAATTATGTGCCAACCTAGCAGTTTGAAAGCAAGAAATTGCAAGTAGATGAATAGGTACCACTACAGTGGGAAGGTAACAGCGTTCCGTGCGCCTTGGTGTTTAGTCATGCCGGCCACATGACCACAGAGACGTCTTCGGACAGCGCTGGCTCTTCGGCTTTGAAACGGGAATGAGCACCGCAACCCTAGAGTCGGACTCGACTGGCTTTCGAGCAAGGGAGACCTTTACCTTTACCTTAATTATGTGTTAGCGATTGAAAACGACACTAGAACTGGGCATGTTCGGTTTTGAGGCTGTAAGACCCGAGGGAGGCGTCGGAAGCGAGGTTACCCGGGTTCCCGTAGTCACGCAGTCTTGTATCTTTCCCATCTTTAAAACTTCAACATAATCTGCATAAATCCTTGAGCAATATTGGATGAGATTTACTCCTTATTACTTTTTGGGGATCATTATCTTCTGTATAATTGTTGCTCTGTACTCAAGCTGAATCTGTGAGAAGTTAAATATAGTTTAAATATTTGAAGTTTGATTTATACAAAAGTAACAATGGCCCCGATCCCACGCAGAATTTGCCACGGGATACTCACAAGTGCCGGCCGGATTTCCCTGGCGTGATCAAACAGACACATCTGGCCAGCGCCCCACACCCGTCAGCAACCCCCGTCGCAGTCAGCCAAAGAAGCGGAGTTTAAAAGTACCCGGGGAAATCCACTATCAACTGGTTGCGACGGGCTGCAGCCGGACGCTCTCCCTGTGATAGCTCCAGCACGCTCCTCTCGCGTCCCTGCTTCCTGGTTGGAGCATACCAGAAACACCCGCTGATGGAAACAACACCGTCGCGTCTGATTGCATTGGGGCACGTCAAATTGCGATGGCGCAAATCACCACACCTCCCCCCCACGCACATTTTCTGGCACGTGTGGCCGGGACCAATATAAACGTAATCCAGCACGGTGCTGTAGTTTTGCAGTTCTAACTGTTGCACCGGGGTCCCCCTGTTGCAGATGACCCACCTGGGTGTTGTCAGCCTGAGTCCCACAGCCGCACTGGTCCCTGTCACTGTCTGTGTAGAGGAGAACCCGGAAGTGGGCAGTGAGGCTGCAGTCCTGCCTAGGTCAGGGGGTTCCTGCCTATGCCGGGAGCATTTGACCCAGGGACCAGTGCGCCCTCTGGAAAGTCCCCGGGGGGCCTGAACCCGCCCGACATCCCTCGCTCCAAGAGGCAGGAGGCGGTGCTCTCTCCAACGGTCGCGCACGTGGTAATGGCGGATACATTACAACTCTCCTTGCCAGAAGGAAAGGGCAGGCTCCTTTTCTTTCTCTCCCAGTTCCTCACTTTCTCCCAACGAAGGTCACTGGGGCGATGGGGGGTGGGTGGGGGCACAGAGTCTCTTTAGAGGCAAACTAATCGCTCCATCTGGCTGCCGTCAGCTGAAGGCTTTCTGGCTCGGCTCCCCGGCAAGGGGCATTCTGATTATTTGCTCAGGTGAGCCGCGCACAGCTCCTGCCAGCCTCTGGGGCTCCTACACTCACGCAGGCCGCCCCTTGCAGACCTTTCCAGAACATTTCCCAGGTCTGTGATTTAGACCTGCAGCCACTTGCCTTTTATTGCCGTGAGAGACTAATGCGTCCTCTATAAAAGAAGAGAGACCCCAGCAGCCCGGCCTTTCGGGAAGGGGAGGCTCAGGAGCTGGCTGGAAACATTAACCAGCATTAAAGATAATAGTGATAAAAGAGGCAAGGAGAAAACAGGAGGAGGAGGAGAACACGGACTCCTGGGCTTGTGAGAGGGGGAATCCATCATGGCAGAGTCCTGCCTGCAGCTGAGCTGAAGCGCCATGGATTTCCAAGAACAGTTGGGCAATCCTGTGCCATTTCACAGCGAGATGCACGAGCAGTCAAGAACCAGCCATGCTTCAGCAGCACCCAGAAAGCTGAAGAGAAATGGTAGGCAAGGCTCCCTCTCAGCTGTGGAGTCTTGTGAGCAGAAATTCTACTTTGTGAGCTGCCGGCATTGAAGTCGTGAGCGAGCGATTGGGCTCCTGCATAAATTAGTTTGCTCTGGAGCCCCATCCTTCCTGAGCTGAGACAAAAATGTGTGAGCCAGAGAGGCTAACAAACTGTGAGCTAGCTCGCACTAACTCAGCTTAGGGGGAACACTGATGGTAGGATCCTGTGGTAGCGTTCGCCTCCCCCCCCCCCGGCTTCTGGAACCCCGACCTCAGTGCTACACCCATTGTCTGTGGGGAGCTGGGAGGGAGCAGGCTTTGCTTCAGCCCCGGCTCCTTGGGGCGGGGGCCCAGGAGGGGCTGAGCTGGCAGCCAGAACTCGAGTCCCAGGAAGTGGGGGAGCCCCTCTGTCTTCAAAACCTTCCTTCTTCTCTCCCAGTGTTCATGCTGAGCTGCAGCTTCCCCCGCAGACCGGACTTTGGGGAGGTGACGGTCATGGGCCTGCACCCGGGGGGCAGGGCCCGCTTCCACTGCCACCTGGGCTACGAGCTGGAGGGCCCCGAAGTCCTCACCTGCATCAACGCCTCCAAGCCCCACTGGAGCCCCCCGGAGTCCATCTGCTCAGGTAGGCAAAGACCGGGGAGGGGGAGGTTCGGGGGCTGGGGCGCCCGAAGCAGCCGGCTCAGCGCCTGACCACGCCTCCTCCCCCTGCTCTCGCTTCTCAGCACCCTGCGGGGGGACAGTGCAGAACGCCACCCTGGGCCGCATCTTGGCCCCCACCCACCCGCAGAACCACAGCGAGAGCATGCTGTGCGTGTGGACCCTCCGGGCACCAGAAGGGCAGAAGCTGCACCTGCACTTCGAACGGCTGCTGCTGGGAGACAAGCAAAGGTGAGAGCGATGCTGCCGCCCACTTCTCTTGGTGTGCCAGAAGGGAGAGGGACCCACAGCTCTCCCCCAACCTGTGCAGACATTTGAGTTTCCCTCCCCCACCCCCAAGCGCCGAACACCCAAGGCTGTGGCATTCCAGAAATGGCAAACCTACTGGCCTCTGACACAACAGAAGGCCCACATTTAGGAGACCGATGCTGATGTTTAAGGAACATTAAAAACCAAGCCTGGAAACAGACAATAAAGCAGCTTTATGAGCTGTGCTGAAATCCAAGAGTAAAACACCTGTTTATGACTGCAGGAGACACAGCGGAGCTCTCTAAAACAACGTCTTCGTACAGGAGGCTGCCAAGAAGACAGGGGATTTGCCAGGGGTGGGTGGGGGGTGGGAGGAAGAAGAAGAAGAAGAGATTGGGTTTATACCCCATGGCCCTTCACTACCCAAAGGTGTCTCCGAGTGGCTTACAAACTCCTTTCCCTTCCCCTCCCCACAACAGACACCCTGTGAGGTAGGTGGGGCTGAGAGAGCTCTTGACAAAAGCTGCCCTTTTTCAAGAACAGCTCTTATCAGAACTATGGCTTGCCCAAGGTCATCCAGCAGCTGCAAGTGGAGGAGTGGGGAATCAAACCCGTTTCTCCCAGATTAGAGTCTGTGCACTTAACCACGACACCAAACTGGAAACACAGGACTGCTCAGGAAGTAGGGGGGGGGGGTCAGTGTTAATCCCTTGTTCTTCAAAGGTCTGGTATTTATGGGGAAAAGGAGGAAGCCATTTGGGCTGGGAGAGGATCCTGAGGAATGGGAAGAAAGAGAGGAGCCCCCTAAGTGGGGGATACTTTTGCAGGAAGCAACTGGCTTTCCCCACTTTCCCCCTGGATGGTGGCATTTTGCATGCTTTTGAGTCAAGCCTCTGCTCCCCACACAGGGACTGACGGTCTGGATCCCCCTGAAAGACAAAACAGGGACAGTCACAGGGGGTTCCCAAGGACAAGCCAGGGAGAGCTGGGGGATAAGCGCAGGGGATTTGGGAGAGAGAGTCCGGGATCATCCCCTGCAAGGGCAGCGCCTCTGAGAGCAGCACCACCGCCACCACCACCACCAGACGCGCCCTTGTGGGTGCGCAAGGCCAGGTCGGATCACCAGTGGCCGGACAGCCGCCCTCCCCGCTGTGGGTTATCCTCTCGCCCCGGGGCATCTGCCGTCCTCGGTTGGCACCCCCGGCCGCTGAGAGCATTTCTCCTCCGGCTCCTCCCCTGCAGAATGGTCGTCTACAACGGCGAGACAAACGGCTCCCTCGTCCTCTACGACTCCCAGCAGAGCAGCAGCCTACCCTTCGAAGGGGTGATCAGCGAGGGCCCCTCCTTGCGGGTGGAGTTCGTGTCCGAGGACCCCAGCACAGGCCCCGTCTTCAACATCCGATTTGAAGGTAGCTCTCTCTCTCTCTCTCTCTCTCTCTCTCTCTCTCTCTCTCTCTCTCTCTCTTTCTCTTGGCCTGCTGTAGAGCTTGCAGGGTTGCCAGCGTGGGTGGGTGGGGGGGACACCCTCAGGGGGCCATTTTATGTCTGCTGCTGAGCTCAGCAGATTAAGGCCATTAATCCCGGTGCTGATTGCTCCGCTGGCCGCTTGCCCTTGTCGGCCACTGACTCCTGGCTGGAGAGGAAAGTTAGCCGGTGTCCCCTCTGACCACGAGGAAGTGGAGAGGGGAGGTGTGTGTGTGTGGGGCTACCGTGAGCTCCAACAGGAAATGGGCACAGCCAGTAAAGGAGCTGGCTTGCGCTCTGGCTTGTTTACCAAACTGGTTCTTTGGGCACACCAGGCCCCCCCCCCCACGTGCCGCTTCCTGCCTCTTCCTTCCTGAACGGGGTGCAGATGGAGGCCTCTGCGTCATCCCGGCTTTCTTGCCAAGGACACCCAGTGAGCTGCGAGGGGGAGGGAAGGATCCACCAAAGGCGTCGCCTCGCGCCTGTCCAGTAGTTCCGGCTCCTCCCCAAAGTCACCCCCCCCCCTGCATCCCCTCCCAAGAAGGGGGTCTTCCTCCAGTTCGCTGCAGGGCCGCTTCTCTCCTGTTGGTCTCTCCTGCAACAGCCTCTCCTGGCTGTCCCTTCTCGAGATCTCTTTCGGAAACGTCTCATGAGCGTGAGGCAGGCAGTCTGCTTAAAGCAAACACACAGAAAACCGGGGTAGGCAGGCGGCACCCAGTAGGTTGGCTGCAAGACTTCTCCTGTGTGATCTGGATCTGGTTGCCAGGGCTCCCTTCGAAAAGCCAACCCGGTTGCCCAGGGGGACCTCTTCCTTGACACGGGTGGAAAGCTCAGGAGGCGTCATCTGGGCCTCCAGTCCCATGCCCGAGGAGGCACCAGCCGCAGTTGGCTTGGCAGTGTGGCAGCTTCAAGAGGGAATTAGATAGGCATATGGAGCAGAGGTCCATCAGTGGCTATTAGCCACAAGGTATAGATAGGGACTCTGGGGCAAGGGATGCTCTGTCTTCTTGGTGCTTGGGGGGGGCAACAGTGGGAGGGCTTCTAGTGTCATCTGGCCCCACTGCTGGACCTCCTGATGGAACCTGGTATTTCTGGCAACTGCGTAATGCAGAGTATTGGACTAGATGGGCCTTTGGCCTGATCCAACATTGGCATCTCTTATGTTCTTATGTTCTTATGTGGATGCTGGGTGAGAGGGCATGGTGGCAGTCCCCTGAAGATCCATGGGGAGGTGGGGAGAGGCCGGGCGTGGTGGAGGGGCACCCTTGGCCTCCTCTCACCCTTCCTCGCAGCCTCCGTTCCCCCCCCCCCCCCCCCCGGTGAGTGCAAAGGGGCTGAGTAATGTCGCAGACCCAAAGAGCCCAATGGGACGATCAGCAGGAGGGGAACGAAAGGGGCCTTTGGCTCTCCTTCCCTTTGCGGGGTGGCTTCCCAGTTGCCCCGGCAGAGAGACCACCTTCAGACTCACCGGCCTGGAGTCCGGGGCCGCCTTTCATGCTGGGTGCTGAGTGAGTGGCATTCCTTGGGCCGCGCAAGTCGCTCTGGCCTGTCGCAGGCATGGCGGATTCACGTCAGCCGCCACGCTTCGCCTCACAGAAGCAGATGCAGAAGGACGCGCGGCAGCTTCTAGGGAGGTGCTGTCCACGGTGCTGCTCCCTTTGCCTAAACCCGGGATAATCCCAGATCAGCCCTTATTAGCAGCGGATCGGCCACCCTGGCAGGTGGTGTTCCCGCTTAGGTCAAGCAGATTGGCCATTATGGACCCTGGGATTTCCCCCAGTGGGCTGACGAGCCCCCCCCCCCATACCTGGTCGGGGCCAGGGCAGTGGCAGAGGCCAGGGGGAGGAGTAGCGCCTGACCCGCCCGTGCCAGGGGCAAGTGGCAGCTGACTGCACACAGAGACTGCTTGTTCCATCTTTCCCCACCCCTTTGTGAGAGTGGGGCAAGCTGCCTCTCTCTCTCCTTTGAGGGGGGGGCTTTCTGGGGCTGTTTTTTTTAATCCTGGGCAGCCCTTACCTCCTGAGATGGGCCAAGAGTTGCTCAGTGTAACGGCCTGGAGCAGGAGCTGATGGTGGGTGTTTTCTGAAGACCGGAGGAACACTGCAGGACAGAAGAGAAGACACCAGAGGGGCCCGCCCTAGGGGGCCCTCCTCCCCAGTGCCAGAAGAGGAGGAGGAGGAGGAGATTGGATTTATCCCCCGCCCTTCACTACCCAAGGGAGTCTCAGAATGGCTTACAAACTCCTTTCTCTTCCCCGGCCCACAACAGACACCCTGTGAGCAATGCTCCCTCTAAGCTGTGGGGTCTTGTGAGCAAAAAATCCACTTTGTGAGCTACTGGCATGAAAGTTGTGAGTGAGCGATTTGGCTACTGCATAAATTAGTTTGCTCTGGAGCCCTCCTTCCTGAGCTAAGACAAAAATGTGTGAGCTGGATGCTAAACAACTGTGAGCTAGCTCACACTAACTCAGCTTAGAGAGAACACTGCCTGTGAGGGAGGTGGGGCTGAGAGAACTCTGACAGAAACTGCCCTTTCAAGGACAGCTCTGATAGAACTATGGCTTGCCCAAGGTCCTCCAGCAGCTGCAAGTGGAGGAGTGGGGAATCAAACCCGGTTCTCCCAGTTTAGAGTCCGCACACTTAACCATGACACCAAACAGGAGGATGTACGTGTCTCATTGCCAGGCCGGTTAGACTCCTGGGTGTGATGGTCTCTCTTTAAGAAGAGCCAGAAGACTTTTAAAAATCTTATTTGGGTGGTTTATAGTCCCCCTTTCTCACAGAAACTCTATACCTTGTGAGTCAACAAAATGGGACATTCAGTAACCAAATGCATGAGGGTATTAGAAGTCTGGAACCACCACAGCAGAAGCATCCATATGACACATTAGGTGGCACTGAAATGGGATGGATCCTGGGGCCCCGCTCCCCATCATTGGGCCGGATTTACCCCTCTGTCCAGAGGCCCTTTGTCAGGGCAGCATTTGGGCCTTTTGCCGTTCGCTTTGCCCAGTGTCTGCAGATCTGTCTGAACCGAGCAGGAATATTTTCGGGGGCCCAGGCGAGGCGTGCGGCATCAGAGGTGCCAGGCCGTATTGTGCCGCGCTCTAGGGAGTCGAAGCCGCCGCTCGCTTGTGAGGGGCCCTTCCCGTTCTTAACCCTCCCCAGTCAGCAAGTGAGAAATCATCTCCCTCCTTGGCTGCGGGCCCAGATACTTGGCTCAATTACAGCTCCCGGCCCGGCTTTCTATTTTCGGCATTATCGTCAGCCGGCTCCCCTGATTCCAGTGACAAGGAGGCAATCGCTCTGAGTGATGGGCCCTGGGCGGGAGGCTTCCTCGGCGGCGCTGGCCTCTGGCTGCGAATCGTGGCGCCTGCTTTTAATTAGGATGGCGTGGGCGGGGGGGAGGGTCCAGTGAGCGTTCTTCTCTGGGGAGGCTGAGAAGGGCAGCTTGCTTCCTGCTGCCATCTTCCTGAGCGCAAAGATCTCTGCCTTTGGAGCTGGAAGGTGAAGGAGGCGCCAGCGACTTCTTCAGCACCCAGTAGCAGGGATCACTCACTGGAGAAGAAGACCCTGAGGCTGGGAAAGATTGAAGGTCAAAGAAGATAGGGACGGCAAAGGATGAGATGGTTGGACAGTGTCATAGATGCAACAAACATGAAATTGAGCCAACTTCAGAGGACGGTGGAAGACAGGAGGGCCTGGCGGGAGCTGGTCCATGGGGTCGCGAAGAGTCGGACTCGACTGTGCGACTGAACAACAACAACAACAACAGCAGGGATCAGCAGCAACAGCCGCCGCCTGGTTCCAGGGGGGACAGTGAGGAGGAGCAGACTCCTGCAGGACCCTGGAGAGTTCCCTGACTCCCTCTTCTCCTCCCACAGCAGGACCGCCAGGTCTCCAGTCCAGGTGCACAGCCTGGGTGCCGCCATTGCTGGGCTGCCTCCCGGTGCCTGGGGGATGGAGCCCTTGCGTGGTTGTCAAGGTGACGGAAGGAGGAGGGTGCTGCCTTCCTGGATGAGTCGGCACCCCCTCCCCGCCCTCCTCCTAGTGGCCTCTGGTGTGACGGGTCCCCTTTGAGGTGGGCTGACCTGGCCTCAGAACCACCGTCCAGAGTGTCTGCGGGCAAGGCCATGACTCCACGCTTGACGCTTCGTAACACCGTGAAAAGTGACAGCTAAGCGTTGATTAGGCAGACTCCTAAATCAACCTACTAATTACTAAATTATGGGTTATGCAGCACAGAAGAATTTTTTAAGGGGAAGAACGCTTCTTCAGTTTACATTCGGTTTACATGTAGTATGAGCTGATGATGATTTGGAGGGGAGGGAAAGGGGGAGTCAGTCTCTCTCTCTCTCTCTCTCTCTCTCTCTCTCTCTCTCTGTGCCTTTATTGGCATAAAACAATACCTTAAAAGAGGATTACTATTAAAAATATACATATAAGATCATATAAAACCAAGTATTTTGCAAACTACATAATATTGCATAATGTTACATAAAACAAAGTGTTGTTCATTTTGATAGTTTTTCCCGACGTCGCTTTATAACTGATTGTAAGAACATGGCTCCCTTCACTGATATTTTAGTATCGGAGTCATTCAGAAGACGGTGCCCTTTTAAACCATCAGGAAGGTCCATCATGTTGGCTCAAATAGGGTTTAAATATCTAAAACGTGTATCTACATAAAATTGGCAGTGCAAACAGGTATGTGAAACTGTCTCGATGCATCCAGAGTTACAATGGCAAAGTCTAGCCGTGTGTGCTATATTATTGTATCTCCTTCTCCTCCTCTTCCTTCTTCTCCATTGTCTCCTCCTCCTCCTCTCCCCTCCCACTAATTTCTGTCCTCCTGTTTCCTTTAAGCTTTCGAGAAGGGCCACTGCTACGAGCCGTATATCCAGAATGGGAACTTCACCACCTCTGACCCCACCTACAACCTTGGGACGATTGTGGAGTTCACCTGCGACCCGGGGCACTCCCTGGAGCAAGGGCCAGCCATCATCGAGTGCATCAACATGAGGGACCCCTACTGGAATGACACGGAGCCCCTCTGCAGAGGTGAACGGGGGGGGGGAGACTCACCCACCCCAGGCTTTGAAAGTCTTAGGGGCGGGGTGGCAATTTCTTAGTGCTGGGGGGTGGGTTGAGGGGGATGCTGCCTGACACTGAATCAGGCAACGGGTCCATCAAAGTCAGTCTTGACTACTCAGACTGGCAGCTGCTCTCCAGGGTCTCAGGCAGAGAAAGGGTCCTTCTCCTCACCCACTGCCCGGTCCCCCTAGCTGGAGAGGCTGCTGGGGATCGGCCCTGGGACCTCCTGTGTGGCAAGCAGAGGTGCTACCCCTGAGCCTTGGCTCCTGCCCTGGATAACAGACCTCACATGGGTGCAGCAGGTGGTCTCACCCACGGTGTGGTCTTGGACCTGGGCTTGCTTTACAAACAGACACATCAAAAAGTCAAATGCTGGTGCACCAATCAGTGCCACGATTTGGGGAAGTGGCTTGCTGCTTAAGCACATGCACGTATATTTTGAAGTGATGTTTCTGTGTTCACCTTTTAAAAAAAAAACCTTGCAAAACACTTGGGGTTGGTGTCAGTCTTCTCTCTCATTCCCCCCCCCCCCGAGCGGAGCAGAAGATCGCTACTTGAACCCTCAAATGGCCCATGGGCAGTGCAAGACCCTGCCCGGATCCAGATGGCTGCCGAGGGGGGCTTCCTGTGTCAATGAGCAGCCACTCACACTCGCAGCTTAGAGGGAACACTGGTTGCTGGTGCTTTAGAAGAAGAAGAGGAAGAGATTGGATTCATACCCCATGGCCTTTCACTACCCAAAGGAGTCTCAGAGGGGCTTACAAACTCCTTTCCCTTCCCCTCCCCACAACAGACACCCTGTGAGGTGGGAGGGGCTGAGAGAACTCTGACACAAACTGCTCTTTTTCAAGGACAGCTGTGCCAGAGCTTGTGACTGGCCCAAGGTCACACCAGCAGCTGCAAGTGGAGGAGTGGGGAATCAAACCCGGTTCTCCCAGATTAGAGTCCGCGCACTTAACCACTACACCAAACTGGCTCTCTCTTTAGCCGATAGATGTTCTCCAGAGCCGGCTCTTTCTGAACCACACTGGAAACTGGCAAGGCCTGTTTTTCAGAACTCGCCCCGGGACAGAAAGAAGTAGGTTAGCATTGAAAGTGGTGAGGGTGCTTGAAAACAAGGGGCCTGTTCCTCCTCACCCTTCACAGCTGACTTTCAGCCACCACCACCCCCCGTAGGGTTTTCCTGGATCTCGACCCGGCTTAGCTGCCAAGGTCTGGTGAGTCTGGGCCAGCCAGGGCTCTCCAGCGGAGGGTGCGCTCTCCCAAACAGAGGGGAAGCCCCTCCGCTTGCAAACACCTGCTCCGTGGCTCTCGGTTCTCTCCCTCAGTCCGGGGCCATGGAGAGGGGAGTCCTGAGGGACTCCATGCAGCCGGTGGGCACCGTACAGAGAACATAAGAGAACCTAAGGGAAGCCCATGTTGGATCAGGCCAGTGGCCCATCCAGTCCAACACTCTCTGTGTCTCACACAGTGCCCAGAAATACCAGGTGCCATCAGGAGGTCCTGCAGTGGGGCCAGGACACTAGAAGCCCCCCCACTGTTGCCCCCCCCCCAAGCACCAAGAATACAGAGCATCCCTTGCCCCTGACTAAGAGTTCCTATAAGAACATCAGAGAAGCCAATGCTGGATCAGGCCAGTGGCCCATCCAGTCCAACACTCTGTGTCACACGGTGCCCAAAAATACCAGGGGCCATCAGGAGGTCGTGCAGTGGGGCCAGGACACTTGAAGCCCCCCCACTGTTGCCCCCCCCAAGCACCAAGAATACAGAGCATCCCTTGCCCCAGACTAAGAGTTCCTATAAGAACATAAGAGAGGCCAATGTTGGATCAGGCCAAGGGCCCATCCAGTCCAACACTCTCTGTGTCTCACACAGTGCCCAGAAATACCAGGTGCCACCAGGAGGTCCTGCAGTGAGGCCAGGACACCAAGAGCCCTCCCACTGTTGCCCCCCCCCCCAGCAGCAAGAGTACAGAGCATCCCTTGCTCACTCGGGCCTCTCTTGACGTTGCAGCCATGTGTGGAGGACAGCTCTCTACTGCGGCAGGAGTCATCCTTTCGCCCAACTGGCCCGGGCCCTATGCCGAGGGGGAGGACTGCGTGTGGAGGGTGCACGTCGGGGAGGAGAAGCGCATCTTCCTGGACATCCAGTTGTGAGTATTTGGCTGCCAGCTGCTCCGCCACCCTCCCTGCTGGAACGGAAGGCTCCCCCCCTCCCCTCCCTTCCAAGTGCTTTATTTGCTTTTTGAAATTACATTCTGCTTCTTCGAAGCATGACACTCAGTAGAAAAAACTCTGGAACCTTACTTCCTGGTTGTAGAACACCTCGCCATGGAGATGGTTTGCTTCCATAGATTTGTTGGAGTGGAGGGGCTCCACTTCTTTCCTGAGCCATGCCAAAGAAGGTGCCCTCCACCTCCACACTGCTGCCCCTGGCACACAGTTCAAAGGATCAGGGCCACTGGAGAGAAGGCCCGTGGTTCACAAGGAGGTCAAACGGACCTCCCCAAATGAGGGGCCTCCAGAAGAAGGCGCTGAGCAGACCTGAGCTGGCAAGTGGGTGCCTCTAGGGCAAGGCCCTTCCCCAGAGAGGTGGGCCCTGGAGGGCTCCAGAGAGTGACACGGCCCCTGTGAACTGCAGCCAGAAACAAACAGGTCGCCCACGAGGTGGCTGGCTGGCAAAACGGTGCTGCCCCAACTGAGAGGCATGTGGCTGCATTTTGCAGAAGCCAGTGTTTCTGAGTGACCTTCAAGGGCAGTGCCACGCAGAACAGAGATGGCAGCAGTCCCGTCCGAAGGCCACAGAACAGTGGATCATTGGTGTGGCCGAGGAGAGGAAGGGGAGAGAGAGCTTTTGAGCCAGATAAAATTGAGAGGAAGCACCGCCCCGATCCTCAGACAGGAAGGCTGTCAGAACCCACAGCCAACAACGAAGTACACGCATTCAAGAACGGTAATACTTTTATTGCAGAGCTATAGATGCAGTAACATAGGCACTGTTAAGATTGGCGGCGGCCCCATGGGCATAATAGGATATAGGGTATTCGTATGCACCCCCCCTCCACAGCACTGGCCAATTAGGCACCCTCCCACACGCGGGATAAAGCTTGGGGACCGTTAGGTAGCTAAAGCTGAGAACCAACCCTCTCCCACAGCACCTAGGAAAACCCCAGACAATACAACTCCCTCCTGCACATCTGTATAGATAAACATTTTGGTGCAAAGCAGAACAAGCACAGGAAGGAATGCAGTAGCAATTAACCAGATACAGACTGAGCTCCCCAACCCCCATGGCTGACAAAGGCTGGATCCAGAAGCTAAACACAAGCAAAACAGACCTCTGGTTTTCCAGGGCTTTCCTTTCACCTGGGGTGTGTGGATGGAATGCTGAAAGCATCCCCCCCCCCACACACACACACACAGCAGAGGTACAAAGCAAGGCAGGGCTCAGTGCCCCACCAGCACCGAGAGAGGGGTGCTGGATGGGGGGGGGCTTCAGATCCCACTGTCTTGTCTGGTGGAGCTCCAAGCAGTGGCCATGTGGGGAGGGGGTTTCCCCTCAGATGTCTCCCATCCAGGCACTGATCAGAGCCCGGCCTGCTGAGCTTAAATTGGCAGTGGGTTGCCTCCGGTGCTGCCCGCGCACGCCCTGTTTGAAGGGGGCCTCCGAGGCTCACGGCACTCAGATCCTGCGTTCACTCGGGGAGCTTCCGCGGCGTCTGTGGGGGCAGCTCGTCAAAAGCTGCAGGTGCCGCTTGAGGAAGTGAAGAGGGAGGCGGAACAAATGGCCGTTTGCTTGCCGTGTGATCCCTCAGCCAGAAGAACAAATAAAACAGCGGCTTGTTTTCATGCCCCAGCAGTGGACCCGAGGTCTAGTTCCGCACGCAAACAAGCCTGCGTGCTGGGAAAGAAAATCAATTTGCAGGCAGGCGACAGAGCGCTGGCGAGCTGAAGCTGCGACTCCGGGAGAATAACCGTCTAATCTCCCGGCTGGCTCTTCTCACCTCCCTTGAGAGACGGGATTCTTAACCTCTGCGCTGGCCAAGTTGTGTATGTAGGTCCAGCTGGGCAGCCACGCTGGTCGGAAGCGGTGGGACAGAGTTGGAGTCCAGAGACACCTTTGAGACCACCAACCAAAGGCACATGGCCCTTCCTCACGTGAAGCTCATGCCGTGAACAAACCTTTGTCTTAAAAGTTTGTCTTAAAGGTGCCACTGGACTCAAAATTTGTTCCCCTTGTGCATGTGCATGAGCAGTCCTATGCGATCAACACATGCCCCGGTCTGCACTCTGATCTTGCACCTCGCAGCAGTGCTGGTTGGAAAAAGGATCCCTGTATCAGATATTGGTACCTCAATCCCCTTGCTTTGCCAGCTTTGCACAGTAAATGGGCATTCCTTTCTGGCAAACCGTTGCCTTCCCAGAGGAGGAGGAGGAGGAGGGGTGTGTGTGTGTGTTTAGATGGTATATGCGTTTCCCCTGCCTAATTCTGCCCTAGTGTGCAGTCTCAGAGCTAGGAGAGAACTGGCCAGAGAGAGCAGGAGCCAACCTGTTGTGCTGTTCCGAAGGATGTGACCGTCTCTGCCGCATGCCCTCTTTCTGCCGCATGCCCTCCTTCTCTCCTGCTGACAGGATGGGCTGCCACAAACACCGTCACTGCTTAGGCGAAAAGCAGTGGCTCAGCATTCTCGATCGCTCGAGGACTTTCTCAGCAGGAGTTGCCCATGTAGCAGGCCCAGTTGGGTCTTGGCATCACACCTCCCTCCCACCGCCTGTAGATCCCAGCTCTGGTCCCTGCAGGCTGCACAGAAAGGGAAGGTGCGGCGCCCCAGAAAGCCCAGACGTTCTGCCTGCTTTGGGTGGGGGGTGTTTGAAGAGAGGGCTGGTTACGCTCCCTTGGTTTGTCCCTGTCAAATTATCTGCTTCTTTGTATTTGGCTGTTTTCATCTGCTGCGAAATGGAATTGCTGCCTTTGTCTGCCCGTTCTCCCGGCTGCCGTCACTGGCTTCATCGGCTGCGGCAAGTCTGTTGGTCACTTGATTCTGCCAGAAGAGCTCTGTGGCTATGAGAGAGTATCTGAACGGCTGAACTGCGTGAAAGCGCCAGGGGAGGGGGCACAGCTGGGCATGGCTGGCCTGAGGCCCTCTAAGGAACCAGTGGCACAGCGGAGACCCCAAGGGGGCATTCCCCGGTCAGCCCCTGGACCGGAGCATTTGGCTTTGTGGCTTAATGTGTTTGAAAGGACACCAGATATCATGACGGGCTCCTCACTTCCCCAAGCAGTGCCAAGTCCCGGGTTCAGCACCCTGCGGAGGAGTCAGCCCTGGAGCCTGAAGGAGGTGGTGGCGGTGGCTACAAGGATGGACGGCTTCAAGAGGGAATTAGATAACCATACGGAGCAGAAGTCCATCCATGGCTATTAGCCACAAGGTGTAGATAGGGACTCTCCGTCTAGGGCAAGGGGTGGCAGGGCTTCTAGTGCCTTGGCCCCACTGGTAGACCTCCTGATGGCCTCTGGTATTTCTGGCCACTGTGTGACACAGGAGTGTTGGACTGTATGTGCGCTTGGCCTGATCCAACATTGGCTTCTCTTATGTTCTTATAGGAACTCTCGGTCTGGGGCAAGTGATGCTCTGTCTTCTTGGTGCTTGGGGGGGGTCAACAGTGGGAGGGCTCCTGGTGTCATCTGGCCCCGCTGCTGGACCTCCTGATGGCCCCTGGTATTTCTGGCCACTGTGTGACACAGAGTGTTGGACTGGAGGGGCCACTAGCCTGATCCAACACTGGCTTCTCTTGTGTTCTTATGTGTGGGGCAAGGGGTGCTCTGTCTTCTTGGTGCCTGGGGGGGGCAACAGTGGGAGGGCTTCTAGTGTCCTGGCCCCACTGCTGGACCTCCCGATGGCCCCTGGTATTTCTGGCCCCTGTGTGACACAGAAGAGTGTTGGACTGGATTGCCCACTGGCCTGACCCAACACTGGCTTCTCTTATGTTCTTTGTCCTGTTAAGCAAGATGACAGCAGTCGAGAAGTGGAGGGGAGAGGAAGGCAGAGCCAATCCCCACACACCATCCGTGGGAGGGGTGCTATTCAGCCTGGCACATGCCTCCCGGTGGGGTGCCCCCCTTCTCTGTTGCTGGCTGTGGCTTTGTATCCCTCCAGCCTGACAGTTGGGGGGAGAGACCTTGCCTCTGAGGTGCCCCCAAAGCGGCTTCCGCGGCCACCACCCAGCGGGGCTCCGTGCCCAGGTGCTCCTCCTCCTGCCCATGTGCTCCCAAGGGGAAGCCGTAGGGACCCCAAGCTGGAGGCCGTGGCCAGGCACGTCCAGTCGTGGCAGGGGAGGCTCTGCCCGCAGGGCACAGCAAACAGGTGCATGCGGGGGGGTCACCACGCAGCCTCCTGTCATTCCACCTGTGGTGGCTAGGGCACGGGGGGCATCGGGGGGACATGGACGCTTTGGCAGGTAGTGGCAGGCGGTGCCCATCTATGCCACTCGCTCACGTCATTGGGTGCCTCTCCCTGATCGGTGGTCTACGGGGCACTCGGTACGTGATGCTGGCCATGTGGATGGGCACGTGTGTGTTTTTTCCTGCTCTTCAGAATGTCCACAGTGCATGCGCCATGGCAGAGCCACATCAGTGCAGTCATGCTGCAGTTGGTGGGTGGAGCTGCCCATGAGACTTCTGCTCCTCACCACCGCATGAGGGAGAGGCCGGGTTCACATGGAGTCTCTCTCTCTCTCTCTCTCTCTCTCTGCTCCCCAGCTCCTCCCTTCCCCCCTCCCTTCGGTAATGATTTCCTCTGGCCCATTAAAGCTCCTGCTGGAGTCAGGCTGGATGGTCCCTACATTGCCAGTCGAGTCTGACTCTAGGGTTGCGGTGCTCATCTCCATTTCCAAGCCGAAGAGCCGGCGCTGTCCGAAGACGTTTCCGTGGGCATGTGGCCGGCATAACTAAACACCAAGGCGCACGGAACGTTGTTCCCTTCAGTCCTCTAGTCCTTCAGACTAGAGGAAGAGAAAACCCCACCACCAAAAGTGCAAGGGGAAGGGCGGCCTGGTGGCTCCTGGAGGAAATGCCTCTCTGGGTGCCTCTTGGACTGGCCTGGGCAGCTTCTCAGCCTGGTGTCACTGGAATTCTGCTCTTAACAACACTTTGTGGGGGGGGACGGACGCTTCGCCTTCTTGGAAGCACCCGAGCAGGCTACTGGGCTGCCCCCTTCGGGCGGGCGGGCAGAGGGCGAGGAGGACCACTCCTCTCGGGAAGATGCATCTCCCTGGCCCCCCCCCCCCCCCCGCGAGCTGGTTTGCATTGCTGGGAGAGCAGCGCCCTCTACGGGCCAGCCTCTGGAACTAGGACGAATCAGATCTGGAGTCTGGACACGGAGGCTGTCTCGAGGACGCGGAGGTTTGGCTCTTTCTCGGGTGTTTTCAGCGGCGCTCGTCTAGGGAGCCCCATATGCTGTCTTCTTGTGCCTGTCTGTCCTCCTCCTCAGCCCCCCCACACCTCTGCTTTTCTGCATTCTCGCCAAACCTTGTTTAGTGGGATCCACCACAGTCTAAACGCGCCTTTGGGTATTGTGGGTGAGTGTGAATCAGTATAGGTTCCTCCTACAGCAGCACCATTTCCCTTGGTTCTTCTCCTGCAGCTACCCCCTCCCTATTCCCTGGAGGGGTTTTGAGGGGCTTCTGAGAAAAATGAGGAATTGGTAGACCACTCTAGAACCATTATAATAATCTATTACAGCAGTGTACTAGTTCCTAGATTTCGTTCGTCAAAAGTAAGTTTGCATGCCTTTTTGTTGTGGAGTTATAAAGGGAAAGGTGCAGGCTGCGCATTTTCCCTAATAACTGTACAAGGAAAAGAGTAAAAATGTGCTTTTTTAAAAAGGGGGGGAGCTGGGAACCAGTGCAAAGTTGTAATGCATGAGTCACATGGGGAGTTGTCCCTGTGGAAAGGGGAGCAAACAAAGGCCGGACTGTCGACTGACTTGACAGGGAGAGTCTTTGGTGGGCTGCTGGCAGGAAGGGTGAAGCAATATGCACTGTGCAGGCCTGGGGAGGGGGGGGAGCCAAGTCAGAGCTGGATGCTGCCTGCAGAACTGGGACATGGGGCTTAACTGGTGTTGCAGGACCACAACCTGGGCTGGTAGTTCTTTCTTTCTCTGGAAAGCTCCAAATGTGGAACTTCTGGCACACTTCTGGCAAAGCCCAAAGCTGGGCCTCCCAGTCCAGGAGCAGTCTGCTTCTGAAGAGCAGGTGGAATGAGCCAGCCAGCCAGGGGTGTGTGTGTCGGGGGGACCCCCTCATACACACCCCCGCCCTCCTTCGGGTGAGCTTCCTCTGGCTGGCCACTGCCAGGAAGAGGACGCCAGCCCAGTGAGAGCCGGGGTCCCTCCCCACGAGGCTGCCCTTCTGAGGGCCTGTCGTCCTGCCTTTTGCCCTGGCAGCCTGAACCTGAGCGACAGCGACATCCTCACCATCTACGACGGAGACGACCTCAACACCCACATCCTGGGGCAGTTCCTGGGCAGCAGCGGCCCCCAGAAGCTCTACTCCTCCACGCCGGACCTGGCGATCCAGTTCCACTCCGACCCAGCAGGGCTCATCTTTGGGAAAGGACACGGCTTCATCATGAACTACATTGGTGGGTGAGCCGGGGATGCCCAGGGGGGGGGCTGCAGTGCCCAACTCTGGGAGGTTGGCGCGGGGGGCACGGGAGTGATTCGGCCAGAGCCTGCAGAGGGCAGAGGTTGCCCTCCAGCCGCTCAGGGCCTCTGCCCCTTGAGAGGGCACTGCTTGCCTTTGTTCTTCGCCCAGCAGACTCACGCGTCCACGCCACGCACTGTTTTGGGTGCTCCTCTCCCTCTGCCCCGCGGCTGCTGACCAGGGTGGGGACTGAGATGAAACAAGCACACCGTCATGGGACCGGGTTTCCCCAAGCCCTCAGGATCCTTTCTGGCTGTGCTGGGTATTTCACTTGGGAACTGTCATCAAAACTTTGGCTGGTTGCTTTGAATCCTCGGTGCGAAAATGGACCCTCTACATTTTGGGTAGCCAGCCTCCAGGTGGAGCCTGGTGTTCTCCTGGGATGACAGCCCACATCCAGACGACACAGAACAGTTCTCCTAGAGGGAACAGCAGCTTCAGGGAGAAACCCGAGGTCCCCTCCCCAAATCCCTTCATTTCACAGGCTCCGTCCCTAAATTTCCAGGAATTTCCAAGGCTAGGGTTGGCAACCCTCTCTGCATCCCTCCCCCTGCACAGCACAATGTGCACACCCCTAAGCCTGCAACCTTTGGGCTCTCCTGCCTCCTCAGGCCTGTTGGCATCCCCCCATCCCCTCCAGCACAGAGCTCCTTCTGTCCCTGAACCCCATTTGATGATTTTCCATCCACAGTGAAATCAATTTTTCATCTCCCTCTTCCCATTTACACTGATCGTAACAGCCTGCAGCTTAACCCTCCAATATCAGCAGCTTTGGATATTGTGTACTTTCTGTGACATCAGAGAAGTGCAGCCAATAGCGCCTTTAGGGATAGTGTTGGGTATTACAAGTTGAAAACACTCAGTATATCTGGGGTTAAATGTTTGTTTATGTTACTCACAGGAAGTCACATGTTTCTCATGTAACCAATGTTCTTTAGCTGTAGAAAGCCCGGGAATTTTCTCCCTGATCTAGGAATTTGATTGGGACTAAAGTGTCAAGGTGTATTACCATTTTATGGCTTCTCTTCCCGTCTTTGTTTTGGTGTTCTGAAGAAGAAGAAGAGCAGCCATAATCTCTCTCTTCTAGTCTTGTCTTTGTAGAGTGAGGATGTAGTAGATTTTGCTCTGTTGTTATTTTCATCCCAGTTACCCTTCCCATGCTAGAATTTAGTAAAAACTTTCTATTTTAATCACACATGGATTCTGACTCTGAATTATTTTACTCTGGCTCTGCTAGACCATCTTATCTCTGCTAAATACCATTTTTTCAATATCTCACTATCACCCAACAGATAGTTTATCATAAGATGGCGGTAGGTGCCAGCACAGCAAAGCAGGTGAAATGTTGCCATTCACTGGAACAGTTAGACTGGAGTGTGCACGGAGCGTGCAAGTTTCTGAGTGTCACAGGACTCTTCGTTTTCTCTAGTGACTTGTCTTATATATCTGCCCCTGTCCACTGAGCAGCGGTACAGCAGCAGTTGGCTGCATCTCGCTGATACACAAACACACACGCAGACACCGCATGGAGCTCTGAGTTCCTCATGGAGGGTTTCTCTCTGACTGCAGAAGTCTCCCGGAATGACTCGTGCTCAGACCTACCCGAAATCCAGAATGGCTGGAAAACGACATCCCACACGGAGCTGGTGAGAGAGGCCAAGATCACCTACCAGTGCGATCCAGGATATGACATCGTGGGGAGCGACACCCTCACCTGCCAGTGGGACCTCAGCTGGAGCAGCGACCCCCCCTTCTGTGAGAAAAGTACGGGCTCCTTTGCCGTCCAGGAGCTCCGAGCGGGCCGGCTTCTGCTGGCTGCCTTCTCCTCCACCCCTCCCGACTCCCCTCGCACCCCCGTCTTGCCTCCTTGTATCATCACCGTAATGCATGAAGCTGCATCCTGCCGAGCTCTTGGTCCCCCTTGGTCTCTCCAGGCCATGGCTCCCCTGTCCTCTGCAACCCGGTCCTGTTTTTAACTGGGGAGGCTGCTGGGGACTGGGGCCTTCTGCAGGCAGTGCAGGGGCTCCGCCCGCTGAACCACGGACATCTCCCTGCCAGTCTGGTGCAGTGGTTAAGTGCACAGACTCTGATCTGGGAGAACAGGGTTTGATCCCCCACTCCTCCACTTGCAGCCGCTAGATGACCTGACAAAAGCTGTTCTCTCAAGGGTAATCCTGGAAGGAGCTCTCTCAGCCCCACCTACCGCCCAGGGTGCCTGTTGTGGGGAGGGGAAGGGAAAGGAGTTTGTAAGCTGCTCTGAGACTCCGAGCGAAGGGCGGAGTATAGATCCAATCTCTTCCTCCTCCGCCACCCTGCTGGCACTGCCCCTGCATCCTGGGCAGGAGCCTCGGGCAGCAGTCCCCGTCCCCCAGTTCCGTGCCAGGAAAAGCTCCAGCTCCTCACATGCTGCATGTTCCTGAGCACTGGAGTACTGGAGGGGCCGTGGCTCAGGGGCAGAGCCTCTGCTTGGTAGTCAGAAGGTCCCAGGTTCAACCCCAGGTGGCATCTCCGGCTGAAAGGACCAGGCGGCAGGTGATGGGAAAGCCCCTACTAATCTGAGTGGGAGAGACCGGCCGTGACAGACCGCCGGCCTGATTCAGTGGAAGGCAGCTTTGTGTGTGTGTTCGTGGTTGGGGGGGAAAGGAAACCGTGGCCGGCTGAGGTCCCACAGAGCACAGTGAGCAGCAGTGGAGGGAAGTGTGGGGTGTGGCGCTACCTGGCTCCTGTTCCTCTCTGGCTGCAGGCTGGGCCGTCCAAACCAAAGAGGCTTTCCTGAGGGTGTGTTCGGCTGGGAAGGCAGGGCCTGGGCCTCCTGTGAAAACCCTCCGAAGGAACCAGATTCTCCAAAGGAGACAGGAGTGGGGGGGGGGTTGGAGGGGGGCCTCTTCTCCATCCCCTGCTGAGTTCATGTGAGGCCCAGGCCAGGCCTTGTGGGTCTGGCTGGCAGTGTCCCACAGTGCCACGGCTCCGGGGCTCGCAGTGCCAGGGATGCTCTAAGCCACCTTGCCAGGAAGTTGGGGGGCAGAAAGCCCAGCCTGAAAAAAACTGGTAGAGTGTTAAAGGAGAAGAGGCTGAGCTGAACTAAAAGGCTCCACGCACTGGCAGCAAGGCCAGCCTCGACCTTCTTTGCTTTCTATCACATCTTCAAGAGGGCTAGAAACTTAGAATCACAGAATGTTAGAGTTGGAAGGGACCTTGCAGGTCATCTAGCCCAACCCCCTGCACTCTGCATTAGCACAGCGGAAAGGTAGCCCTACAACAGACCCGAGAGACGGTCACCCAGCCTCCGCTTGGAAACCTCCAGCGAAGGAGCATCCACCACCTCCCAAGGCAGACTGTTCCACTGCTCAACCACTCTTAGAATCATAGAATCATAGAATGTTAGAGCTGGAAGGGACCTTGCAGGTCATCTAGTCCAACCCCCTGCACTCTGCAGGAGCATAGCTGAAAGATAGCCCTACAACATACCTGAAAGACGGTCAGGTTGACTTATCTGCAAAACCTTTATTGACTTATCTGCAAAACCTTTCCAAGACAGAGACCTAATTTTATTTTTGTATTTACTTACTTACTTACTTACTTCATTTATACCCCCCCCTCTCCCCACTGGGGACTCTTGAGTGTCTTAAGAGCATCACATTTTCTTCTCTGTTTTATCCTCACAGCCGCCCCCTGAGCTCTCTCAGGCTAAGCAGAGCACAAGTGCCACGTTCTGCTTTTAAGAATGTACATCTCTATGAATGCTAAGAAGTACATCTTAACCAATCAAGTAACTGATTTGTTCATGTGAGAAAAATCCACCAAACCTGATTTTACTAAACACGATTGACAAGCAAAAATATGAATGATAAAAGCCCCGTGTATTTATATGCAGGCAAGTGTATGGCTGAATGCACTCTTATTGCGATTTGGTTTGTGTTTTACCACTGTTGGCGTGGTTCTAAATTACTGCTGGAAGAGGCGGCGGCTGTTCAGAATCACTTCCCCAGGAGTGTTTGAAGGAGAGCACGGTTCAGAGTGCAGCCTATTTATTGACTTCCACCCTCCTGAGGATGTTGGATTCTTTGGTTTTGTACAGCCAGGAATCTCTGTCAACGTCGCATAGAGCGCCAGGCTTTCCACGCAGCAAAGCTTCGGTGCTGAGTGTGCTGGCAGACTGACGAAGTTACACGGAGCCAGTAGTCAGCTTCAAAACTAATAAGAGCTCTTTATCATATGGAACTCCATTCTAGACAGTTTAGATGAGAGACAGAGCTAGGATCTATTCTAACGACCTAGGATGGGTATGGATGCAGGGAGGAGTGCCCCTGCATCCGCCGTTCAGAGATGGAGAGTAAACGGGCTCCTTCTATGTGTGTGTGTGAGTGAGAGGAAGTGCATCAAAGGGACAGAAGCCGAAGAGTAAACAGGAAGGATTCCCCACAGTTTGCCTGTCTGTCCATCTGTCTCTCTTGTAACCCCAGCCACCCCTGCCGCTGTTCTGGAGGCTGAGGCAAAAGGACGGTGCCAAGTCCTCTTCCAACAGAGGAGACTTTGCTTTCTGCCAGCACCTGCCACACACCTCTGCTCCTTTACTCCAAAAGGGATGGCCATGTTCTTCTCATTCCGGGGACAGTCAGCCGCCCGGTTACAGCCTTTGGTTCCACTCCAGACTGATGCCGTGTGTGTTCCTCTCCTTCTTTCCCCCCTAGTCATGTACTGCACAGACCCCGGGGAGGTGGAACACTCGACCCGCCTGATCTCGGACCCGGTGCTGCTGGTCGGGACCACCATCCAGTACACCTGCAATCTGGGCTTCGTGCTGGAAGGGAGCTCCCTCCTGACTTGCTACAGCCGGGAAACGGGGACCCCCATCTGGACCTCACGGCTCCCCCACTGCGTCTGTACGTTCGCCTCCTGCCCCTGTCGCCGGGTGCTCATCTGGCCTCTCCTGGCTCCCCACCCCCCCCTTCACCACACAGACCCACACACACACACACACCAAAAGCAGGGGGGAAAGCCATTCCGGAAGCCGGGCGGTCGTTCCAGAAGCCGTTCACAGCCGTTCACAGGAGGGAGGGCTACTGGGGATTTCCACTCTGGGCTCCCAAAGGGCAGTGGCAGGCAGTGCTGAAAACCTGGGGGGGGGGAGGTTCAGAGGTGTACTGCCTCTGAACATGGAGGTTCTGTTTAGTCATTGATAGGCCTCTCCTCCGTGGACTTGTACTCTGAGTTTGTCTTCTCCGGCGGCAGTGAATTCCATCAGATAATTTTGCATTCTCCTGTCTGTCCTGAATCCACTGCCCATAATCAGGAGTTTTGAATTCTAGCATGGGGGGGGGGGATAAAGTGAGGGTTGCCAGGTCTGGGTTGGAGGATACCTGGAGACTCTGGGGGTGGAGCCAGGGGAGGGCGGGGTTTGGGGAGGGGCCTCGGCAGGGTACAAGGCCGCAGAGCCCGCCCTTCCAAAGCAGCCATTTTCTCCAGAGGAGCTGATCTCTGTCAGCTGGAGATCAATTGTCAAAGCGGGAGATCTCCAGGCCCCACCTGGAGGCTGGCAACCCTAGATAAAGTTGTAGCCCCTTTCTCCAAAGGGCACATAATTTTATAGACCCCCTATCCTGCCCCCCCCCAGTCATTATTCTTCCCAGGAAAGCCCCAAAGCTCCCCAAGGGCTTTCCTTCGCACCACGCAGTTGTTCATCTCTGCCTCTTCCCCAGCTTTGCTTTCCCACCCCCCACACCAGTGCCAGGTCCCCCCCCCTGCCACATAAGCAGATGGCTCTGTGCTGTCGGGCGACACCCAACTGCACTGGGCAGGTGAGAAAACCTGGCTTTGAGTGTTCTCTGGCACCCCACCCCCCTTTGGGTCTTCCGCTTGGGCTGGTGGGCTGGAGATGCCCCCCCCATCTTAGCCAGGGGGCCCGGAGCCAGCCCCACGGCAGAGGGAGCTGCTCCCCAGGGGGCAAGGGCTGACGGGAGTGTGTTCCTCTCCAGCCGAGGAGTCCCTAGCCTGCGACAACCCGGGCCTGCCCGAGAACGGCTACCAGATCCTGTACAAGCGCCTCTACCTGCCCGGCGAATCGCTGACTTTCATGTGCTACGAAGGCTTCGAGCTCCTGGGCGAGGTCACCATCAAGTGCATCCTCGGGCAGCCGTCCCACTGGAGCGGGCCCCTCCCTGTCTGCCGAGGTACCTGGGGCCCGGAAGGAGGGGAGGGGGCCGGGCCGGGGGGGGGCTGGCTGCCTGTCCCGGGATCCGCCAGCCCCGTGCTAACTCACCTGCCCTTCTTTTCCAGTGAATCAAGACAGCTTTGAACACGCTTTGGAAGGTGAGCAGCTCCAGGTCCTCCTTCCCAAGGGGCTCCGGGGGGAGGGGCCATCTCCCCGCCAAGGAGTTTGGCTCCCTTTAGAGCAAGGAGCCCTGGAGGTTCCTGGTGCTTCTGTCGGCTGGCTGCCCCTGCTGACACTGCCCGCTCTGGAGCCAGGGCTGCCCTGGTGCCACACCTCCCCCCGCCCAAGGAAGGAGGGCCCACCCACCCAGGGAAAGGAGGAGGAGGTCGTCGTTCCCACTGGGGCCTGGGGTGCCCCCCAGGTCTGGCCACTAAGCTTGAGTCCAGCAACCCAAGCCCTGGGCTAGGCCTTCTGCTGTTGCCGAGGTGGGTGATGAGCAGTCCAGAAAGACCTCTGGGGGCTGCAGGCCCCCAGCAGAAGACACAGGGGAGTCTGTGGGAGGTCTTAAGCCAGTTTAGGCTTCACCAGAAACAATGAGATTCTCCAACAGCCAAGGAAGAGAGGCCCTGCCCTGCCCCCAAGACCTTCCAGGGAGCTCGTGTGTGTGTGTCTCTGTGTGTGTGTGTGTGTGTGTGCGTGCGTGTGTGTGTGTGTGGCGGGGGGGCTCCCTGCACCTGCTGATGGGGGGGGGAGGTCTGCAGCTCTGGGGAGGGGCTCCCTCTGGCCTGCAGGGGGTGCAGTGGAGGACAGAGGCAGGGTGTTCTTCTTCCCCAGACGGGCTCTGTAGGGCTACAGGAGAAGGAGCTGAGGGTGGTGGCGGAGGGAGGGGGGCTGAACAGTGTGGCCGACCGAGACCCCCTGACCTCCCCCCCCACCCGCCTTCTCTCTTCAGTCGCAGAAGCTGCCGCCCAGACCTCCCTGGAGGGAGGGGGCATGGCCCTGGCCATCTTCATCCCCGTCCTCCTCATCTCCCTGCTGCTGGGCGGGGCCTACGTCTACATCACCAGGTGGGTAGGGAGGACGAGGGCAGGGCCTGCTGCTGATCCAAGCCCACTTGGGCCGAGCTGCTGCGTGGGGGCCAGACCAGTGATGGGGGAGGGAGCTGGGCCACGACTGTGGGCCTCTGGGGGTATCAGCGTGGCTGCTGGTGGGACTGGGTGTCATCCGCCCCCCCCCCCCGCCTCTCTTTGTTTTTTCCTTTTCCG